AATAAATCACTCTTTTTTTTTTCTTTACCAAGCCTCTACCACCTACGCCAACCAGCGTACTACAGCTGTGGTACCGCCCAACAGGTTTTGAGCCACGTATAGCGAGGTAGGGAATCATCTCGAGTCAAATGGCGTCATCAGCGCAACAGCAGTCGTCAAATCATCTGCAGCGCGGATATGTCGCGTTCAGCGGAGAACCCGGCCAGTTTGTCGGTTGGGTCTCGCTTTTCCGTGCGCTGATGTACGAGGCAGACCTAGGTCGGGTCATGTCTGGAGCGGAGAAGGCTCCCACGGTGGCGGAGGATGCCGACGCCGCAGCGACCGCGACGTACGAGAGGAAGCTACAAAAGTTCCAAGAAAAGAATGACAAACTCTACCCGCGGCTTCTGCTGGCTACGTCGGACTGCTCGGAAGGATACTCGAGCCCGGCTTAGCAGGTAGTGCAGTCGTTTGGGCCTGTCGGGGACGAGGAGTTCGGTGACGGTCGAAGTGCTTTTGTAGCGCTCGAGCAAAAGTACCGTGTCGATGGGACTTTCAGAATGCAGCAGCTACACGATGAGTTGGCCGCCGTCGCGGTCACCGCTGCTGACAAGTACGATCCGGCTCGCGCAATCCAACAATTGCGCCGCATCTTTCACGAACTCGGCAAACTCGGAGACACAGTCGTGAAACAACGGCAAGCACATGCCATCCTAAAGGCCCTGCCCGACAAGCAATACGGCTCGTTCAAGACTGTACTGTTGGTAGAGTCGCCCACTGTTGGTAGCGGTGCGCTAGGCTTCGACGATATCGCACGTCGTGCCACACTCTACCACGCAATGCAAATTCGCGGAAAAGTGCTCGACCAAGACGATGGGTCGGGCAGCCACGGCCGTGCGTTGAACACTGTCACGCACGGAGGGGCACGTGGCTTCCGCAAGCACGGCGGCCGTGGTGGTCGTGGTGGTCGCCGAGGAAATGGCGGCAGAACTACAAACGGTTCGACGAACGGCTCGTCGAATGGGAACTACAGCAGCGGCGGCGGATCGGCCGGCAACGCTGGAGGCGGCAGCGCGGGAAATGCGCAAGGTGCTCGCGGGAATTATCGCGGCAACAACGCCTCCGGTGGCCGAGGTAAGGGCCAGGACACCGGTCGGAACCGAAAAGGGCGCTGCCGCTACTGTCATAATTCGACAGAGCACGGGTGGCACAACTGCCCGCTCCGCCTGAGGCACGAGGCGGAGGAAGCCACTGAACAGGCTGATACTCACCACACTCAAGACTCCACCACTCAGGCATGGTTCACGCGGGTGGAGACTGAAGGCGATGTGCTGGAGGACTACGCCATCTCTTTCGGAAAAGACGTGCAGGTGCAGGATGCGCCTGCTGCGGCGCAGCCAGAGGAGCGCGCTGCTGGTGACACGCTGGTGCAAGACGCGCCGGTGCCGACGCTGCAGGATGCACGCGTTGTGTATGACGCGCAGGTACTGGACACACCTGCTGCAGCGGTGGTCTATGACCCTGCTGCCAACGGATATTCTCAGACGGAGGAGGCGCCTGAGGACACCGAGCTCGTTGCGTTCAGCAGCGTGTTTCAGGTGGACAAAGAGAAACCGCAGGTCGTTGATGATTCCGCCTGCTACATTGATTCCGCCGCGTCCAGCCACATGGTGGATGAGCAGTCTCGCTTGTCCCATCACGTCCTCAATCCGGTAGATTGCGCTGTGCGCATTATCGGGTCGTGTGGCACATCCGACGCAACCAAGAAAGGTACCCTGAAGTTTGGGGTGCGCAATGATCAAGACCAAGTCGTGCGAGTAGCTCTGGAGGTTCTGCTGGTTCGGGGCCTTGGAGCGAACATACTTTCGGTTGGAGCGCTGGCCGAGAAGGGGGTGATGTGTGATCTGATGTCTACCCCGCCGGCGCTTCGCATGGGCAACCAGGTCTTTCCGATCTCGACCGCAGTGCCTCGCATGTACGTGCTGAATGTCATCATCGACGACGTCAACCTGGGCGCTGTAGAAGTAAATCGCACGAAGGTAGACGCTCACCTGTGGCACCGGAGGATGGGCCACTGCAACTCGCGAGCGCTGCAGCAGCTGGCGGACAAGGACACTACCGGAATCAGGTTCAATCGCAACATCGAACCAGGTGACTGCGGTGTTTGTGCGGTTGGTGACAGTAAGAAGGGCAGCCACCCCCCGTCTAACCGTCCCCTCTCGGAGACTCGGCTGGAAATTCTAAATGCCGATACGTGGGGGAAACATCCTATTGCTACATACGGGGGTTGCCAGAGTGCCGTGATGTTTACTGATGACGCTACTCGCATGAGGTTCGGCTACCTACTCAAGACGAAAGACGAAACGGCCGAAGCTCTTCAAACTCTGGTTCGGGACGAGGCCGACCCGCTTGGTCAGAGCATCGGCACGGTGCACTGCGACGGGGGAGCGGAGTATTTGGGCAAGTTTCTGGCGCTATGTAAGTCGCTCGGAATCAAGCTCACGAATAGCCCCCCCTATGTCCCGCAAGGGAACCCCATCGCCGAGCGTGGATTTGGTACCATCATCGGCACTGCCCGCAAGCTTCTCTTGGGAGCACCGCACCTTCCTCAACAGCTGTGGGGGGAGGCTTTCATGACTGCAATCTACCTCAAGAATCGGACCCCGACCGAAGTCCTGGGCGGCAAGGCACCACTCGAGGTATGGGAGGGGAAGCCGCTCGGAAAGATGCTTCACATCCACGAGTGGGGGTCGCTGGCTTTTAAGCACGAAGAGGTACGCGCCCGGTCGAACAAGTTGGCGGCCAGGGCCAAGAAAATGTACCTAGTAGGCTACAACTCCAAGGGTAGGTCGTATCGACTTTGGGACCCTTCGGAGCCTCTCAAAATCACCAACTCCGTGGAGGTATCGTTCCGTGAGAAGGAGATGCGCGACGTGATCAAGCCCAAACTAGGGCAAGATCCTCTCCCCGCGCCTAACTCAACATTCTATCGGCCTGGTCTGGTAGACTCTATCGAAGAAGAAGAAGAAAACAACGAAGAATCATCCGACGAATCGGAGCCGGAAGCACCGGCACCTCGCCGCAGCAGCAGGAACTCCGTGGCGCCGCAACGGTTGAATCTGTTTACGAAAGAACAGGCGTACGAGAGGACCGAACATGCTATGGTGACTGGAAGTGACTTCGGCAACCTCGGGAGAGGCAGTCCCGGGGAGGTGGGCTACATGCCTGCCGATCCTGCCACCTACGATGAAGCGATGAGTGGACCGGATGCAGCACGCTGGAGAGCGAGCATGAACGATGAAGAGCAGTCGCTCTACGACCACGACGTGTTCGACTGGGTGCTTCCGCCCGAAGACGCCCAACTTCTTCCGACTAGGTTCCACTACAGGTGGAAGTACAACCAAGAACATGTGCCAGTTCGCCCGAAGAGTCGCGTGGTGGTGCAAGGTTTTCACGAAGCTGACACGGGAGCGGATAAGGCTGCACCGGTGGCGTCTATGGAATCTGTCCATCTAGTGGTTTCCCACGCTGCTGGTTTTGGCCAAGCTCTCAGGCAGGCCGACATGAAGACGGCTTTTCTCAACTCCAGGATGTCCAAGAAAGACAAACCTATCTACGTAATACCTCCGAAGGGGTTCACGTGCTCGCAGGAGCAAACAAAGCTGGTCTGGCGACTTAAGGCGTGGCTGTACGGCCTACGCCTCTCTCCGAAAAGCTGGAATGGGACGTTTCACCTGTTCCTGCTGGAGATCGGGTTCGTCCCGAGCACCGCCGATCCGTGTCTGTACACGTTGAACGGGGGAGAGGTCATCCTGCTCGTCTACGTGGACGACATCCTACTTACCGGAGCCAAGGAGGAGCTCGTGACGACCATTATCGAACAGATGAAGGAGCGCTTTGAGACGGTGGACCTGGGAGAAGCAAAGTTTATCCTGGGAATGGCCATCCAGCGCAACCTCGAAGCGGGCACCATCCTACTGACGCAAGAAGCTTACACCAAGGCCGTGCTTGCTAAATTCGGCATGGCTGACGTGCGCGCGACGGCAACGCCGGCCGAGAAGGAGCCGGTTACGACCAAGGAAGAAAATGCTCTGTCGCCGGAGCAAACTACCATGTTCCGGTCGGCTACGGGTTCGGTCCTATACATCAGCAGGGGATCGAGGCCAGACATCTCTCACTCGGTGCTGGTACTCACGAAGAGCATGGCTAAACCAGGACCGAAGGCGCTTGCCAAACTGAAACGACTCATGCGCTACCTGAAGGGGACGACCTCTTTGGGCATCACCTACCGCAAGGACGCGCAAGGCGGAGATAAACTAACCGCTTACGTCGACTCTGACTTCGCAGGCGATCTTGACGATCGAAAATCGACTACTGGGGTCGTTCTTACCCTCGCAGGTGGCCCGGTGGACACGACAAGTGTGAAGCAGACGGTCACTGCCACGTCGTCGGCTGAGGCAGAATACGTCGCATTGTCCAAGGCGTGCAAAATGATCCTACA